GCAGGCAGCTACAGTACAGATTCTGTTGAACAATGTCATTTTGGTGCCTATAATTTGTCATCATGAAGCAAACAGTTTCAACCCTCTGGTGCCTGAAGGACCCTGTCAGGTAGGCTACTATAGTTGCCAGATTCAATCCAGGATGTGGATCTCTGACTGAGAGAGAGGATGAGGAACTAAGTAGGGCTCTTGCCCAAGGCCAGGACACTTGCCTCAGGCAAGTGAATGTATGATGCTGGACTTTTTAAAGAAGACCCACAAACTGAACAAACAACAGACTCAAATTCAGATGACATGCTAAGCTTTGGGTTGTGCAGCAGCAGGACTAGGGGAAAAGGACAGCGGCTGCAATCTCCTCTCACGAAAACCTGCCCACTCACATCTTCCTACTAAGCCATGGTTTGGCTTAGAGTTATGTTTGATCTGGGTAGCTGTAAAGTTTCCACACAAAATTCAGGTTTAGAGCTACATTTTGTCAAAAGAAAGTGTGTTCAAAGAGCGTAACAGAACTCTGGACAAAGACTCTCAGTGGTTTTATGGAATTTTTCCTCTTCAGTACTATTATAAAAATGTATCTTATTCTGCTTTTAATCAGCAAGCTTTATCCAGCAATCAAGGCAGGTATATAATAAGTTAAGCTACTCTGTAAATCTAAACATTTCCCACAAATAGAAAAGATACAGCCTGAGCTCACCGATTGTTGCCACGGTAACTATCTAAAATGAAAATCTGCTTAACCCTTTCTCTCCTGTAACCACCCATGTACCAATGTTAGCTGACTTTCATGCACTTATCTTCGCCTTTCCCCTCTCTACAAATTCATAATTCTGTTGCTTTTCAGTAGTTATGCTCTAGTTATTCTATCTCAGCTGGAGAGAATTGTGATTGGTGGGAATTTTCTATATGGGATGCCTGCTGGCTCTTTACCAGAATTATAAGGCAAGAAACAAACCCTTAATGGGGCAAAGTAAACCTTAGTTCACTTTCTTGAGGACTATAGTGGTTATTAATACCCAGGGCATGAGAAAATTGTGCTTTTCAATATATTCAGATATACCATGGATTATTCTTTAAAGTGCAAATGAATGTCTTAACTCAGATAATTGTCACCTGTGTTATTATTTCACACATTTGAACTGAGTTTCTTAAGAACCAGGAATGATCCTGCTGGAAAAGGCCAATCTAGTCCAGAATCCCATTTCCCACAGGGGCCAATGCACGCCTATTGGAAACCCACAAGGAGGATATGAGAGCATTAATTCTCTCCTGACTAAAGCTATCAAGGAGATATATTTTAGAATCACATCAAGGTCGTTGCATCAGGTTTGGTAAACACAAATCCACATTGGACCTAATGATGTCACTGAGCCTGTGTGCATACTGGGTTGTTATCACACATCTGGTAAGTCAGATCTAATTTTTCCATGTGCACATTGGCACAAGAGTGGCCAAAGACGAGTGATTACTTTTTTCCCTGATTCCTAATCCAATAGTGCCTGTCCTCTGCCTTTTCTGAACTCCCATTGGAAACATAACCCTGGGTGAGTGCCTGAAACCCCCTGGAATCTTGTGCCCCGCTCAGCAGAGATTGTGGGTTAGTGTGGCACCACATACACACACACACACACACACACACACACACAGGTTTTGCACGAGCATTCTTGTGCAAAACCTGTGTTAAAATAAAACAAGAATGTACAAGGTTAATTTATGATCTGCAAATGTGGCCTGAGCATGCAGCAATTGGAATTAGGTACACTTGGAAAACAAACATTGTTTTGGCAGCTACAAGGAACAGGAAGATGCAGGGGGAGGTGGCAAAAGAAAACGCCCGAGGGCACCACCATGCACCTAAAGAATCACCTAACATAGCAATGTCATATTGTGCAGCCATGATTGTGCAGGGAGCAATTTGCATTTGGATTAATTTTCCTTATCAGACTAAATGATGTTGGGGGAATTGTGGGCAGCCATTTGGATGAAGAGAACATCATGAAGATGCTGGGGGAAAACTTGCACAAATGAGCAGCAGCAAATCCAGAGGAAACTTTTGGACGGATGTGTCCAGAGACTCGTATATCCTGGCTCAGGCATCCAGGTCTCATGATTCACTATGCTCATCTTGAATACAAGGTGAACATTACATACCCCAACTTCCTTTCTGGCTTGGATTTTAATCCAAACTGGAGATGAATTCAAATACTTCTTGCTTTCCTCTCCAAACCCTCATCCCTCCTATGCTCATTCAGGTCTCAGCCCATACCCTATGATGATATAATGTTCCACCTGCAAAACAAATGATATACATTAAAACACCCCAATTGGTGTGTTTGGACAGCCCCAGATGATGGCCTACTGACCCCCTTCTTCTTTTTATGTTGCATAAAAAAATCGCCTGTGACCATTTTCATTGATGTCACCTTGCTTTGTAAGATAAAAATAAATGAGTCTGGACTACTTGCTCATGTCAAATAGCAACAATAAAATTTAGATTGTGTGTAGAATACATGAAACATTCCTGCACATTTTTTAAAAATAAAAAAACCAATTTGTACTTCTCTGTAGCTGATTGCCCATAAAGCCTGCATTTTCAATAGTGGGTACACATCTCTCCTGAATCCTATATAGAGGGATTGTTTTTAAAAAGCAAACACATTATTTTCTCTAGTAGTACATTTCATGTTTAATAATATTATGATCACTAGATCAGACAGTCCTAGAGGCTTCCCAAACATCAAGCTTATTTATCAGCTTTGGCTGATTTCCCAGGAGTAGTTCCAAAATAGTCTTATTGCCTGGCCAACACATTGAACACGTACACAATTTTTCTGCCAAATTTTGCCAGATATAGGATGTAACTAAGTACGCTACTTAGGCTTTCCACTGTATTTTTGAAACAGTATTTAGTCATTTTCTTTTAAAATATATGACCACCCAAATCTTCCAGTCAACATATTTTGTTATTCTGAAGTTGCTGGTGCTCCTGAAAACATCCTGAACAGAATAAGAAAATGTGTATGCGCTTGTGTGTGAGAGTGAGTTAGTGATTCAACAAAGCGCTTAACTGCCATTATCCATTTCATCCACATCCTTGTATTGACCCAGTTTGCACATAAGAGTAAGCCAAACCACAGTAAGCCAAATAAAGGGGGGGGGGGCTTTATTGTAGCAGACAATTCCAATGCAAACTCCTTCCTGAATCAGGAACAGCCTTGCCTGGAATCCTGTGAAACTGAGCAAGATTAAACTCCTACTCACTAGTGGAAATTTTTATGGGAAGCCCATCAGCTGCATCAAAAGTTGTATTTTTGTGTTTTTTATACTGTGATCCTCAGATGAAAGGTGACATATACCGGTAACTTTAACAAATAAATAAATTAGAATCCCCTGCTGAAATAAATGATTTCCACACACACACCCCTCCATTTTAGCAGGGTTTTTGATGCCAGTGAATCCCTTGCTAAAATGAAATGGGCGAAAACTTTGTTTTAACAGGAGCTTTGCAAGGTGCTTTGAAGTCCCAGCAAATTTTGAAGAATGTCTGTGTTTCAGTTAGTGTACTGTTTCAGAAAGTGCAAATTAAGCAGGTTTGCCTTTAAATGCATACTTACTTTAATTTCTCCTCCATCGCTAGGTCCCTACTTCCCACTAGCAGTTTACTTCTTTGCCACAATGTTTGCATTTCTAATTAAAATCTAAAGGTTCCATTTAAGCTGACCGAAGATCTTTTGTTAAAGCTCAATTTACTCAGAAGCTGAACCCTATGCAGTCAGAAATAAGCACCTGCTTTCAATGGTGCTCACTTCCAGGAAACTATGCATAACATCACAGTCATGTTTGTCTTAATGAATCTGGTACTGCCATGTGTACTGTTGCTTGTGCATGCATGAAGACAAACATTTTATATCTACATCTATCTACTGGATCAACATAGATGCCTTCAGTTATGGACTTTTCTTGGCGCATGACTATGGGGGTTTCCATGACAAGCTCCTGCAATTCCTGCACCACTGGGAACAAATCTTGCTGAAAAAGAACCAGCAAAGCTAGTGCAAAGGTAAGTTCTTTCTCACTAACCTTTAGAGTTCAATGGGATTGTCAGCAAGCATGTGGACAAGGCTGATCCATCCCTGGCATTAAATATTTGGAGTTTTAGAAAGCTTTGGTCCCCTCACTAAAAGTTCCTGACTAAACATAGTCATGGGATAAGAGAAGATATACCCCTACTGATTGGTACTGATCAAAAAACAGGAAACAGAGTGGGAATAAATTAATACTTCTAATCAGGTAGACATATACCAAGTTGGGTACCTCAAGAACATCATATTAGGGCCAGTGCTTTTTAGCTCGTTCATAAATGAGCTGGAATTAGGATGAACATTGGTGTGTCCAAGTTTACTGACGACATCAAATTGCCCAGGGTGATAAAAACCAAAAGGGTTTGTGAACAGCTCCAAAAGTTCCTCTCCAAACTAGAGGAATAAGCAATAAATTACAAATATGGTTCAATGCAAGGGTGTAGTGATGCACCTTGAGCTGCTTATTTAGGGGATTAGACAAATTCATGGAAGAAAGGGCTATCAATTGCAACTAGTCATATACGCTACATCCTGGATCAGAGGCAGTATGCTTCTGAATTCCAGTTGCTGCCCTGCTTCTGGACAAAGGTATATTGTTGGCCACAATAGTAAACAAGATGCTGAACTCCATGAATACTTAGTCCAATCCATTAAGGCTCTTCTTATGTAATGAAACACTTGCTCCACACATAGAATGCCCCAGGTTAAATCCCTATGTTCCCCAGTCAAAGGGCTGGGGACGAAATTCTTTAACGATCCAATTATATAGTTCCTGGTGCCATTAGCTCTACTGTCCATAATTTATAGACTTGTAAAGAAATGCTGCTGAATGTTTTGTCTTGTTTTAACATTTAAATATAGGATAGTGAATGGGTTTCTTTATAAAGATATGTGATTTCTGTAGCCAGGAGAAATAGAGGAAGGGATGTAGCTCAGTGGCAGAGCACATCCATGTTTACATGCAAAAGGTCCCAGATTCAATCCATGGCATCTCCAGATAAGGTTGGAAAAGATTCTTGTCTGAAACTGCAAAAGCCACTGCCAGTCAGTGGAGATCATAGTGATTTAGATGGACCGGTGGTATGACTTGGTTAAGGCAGCTTTCCATGTTCAGATTCTAATTCCCTGTTAGGTCACATAGCAGAGCATATCCTGCCATGCTAATATTCACACTGTTGGTTTGGTTTTTTAAAAAGAATAACACAGAGCTCATCACTAGGAAAACACAACTTAGACTGAATTTCTTTAAAACCTTCATGAAAATATTTGCTGACACTGAGGTGTTCTCACCCCCTTATCTATATATAAAACAGAAACAACCTTCAAAGGACTTTCAGAATATGATGCAGAATATATCCATGACGTATTATAAAAATATATAAAGACAGTCAAAACAGTGACCATAAGAGGAGAGCCTGTAAATTATATCTGACTTGGTAAAGCTACCCAAAATGTATAAAACAATCAATGCTAAACATTTTGCCAGGTTGAAGGGTGAGAAGACACTGAACTTTCAAACAGATTAACAAACAAACAAATCTTCTGTCTTATTCAACCATTCAAAGTAGTGCAATCACCAATGAATTATAAAATTATAAACTACTGTTTCTTTCAATATAGTATCAATGATTTCCCTCTGCTATGAATACAGGGTTGTCTATCTATATAAAAGCAACTCCCACCAACCTATTCTACTCTTCTAAAGCTACTCTGTTATACTCTGGTGTGGCCAAGAAACAGAATCCAAGGCAAGGCTTTATGCAGATACAAGCTGACTTGATACTAATGACTGGGGTCACCAGTGCCAAGGAATGGGTTTAGCCACACAGCCCAGTTGTGTTCAGCACTCTACTACCCCAACATCAATTGATGGCTGCCGCTCATTTTTACAAGTACAGGAAGGGAACAAAGTGCTGCACTTGTGGACACTTTTGCAGTATGGGCTAAATCTCTCCCTTTCTTTGTCACTGACAAAGATTCAGGGATGCAACACCCCCAGCTCGGACCAACTGCCTCTGAATATACATACATACTGTCACAATGCTGGGCATTTTACGAGTATAAGGGAGTGAAAGATAGAGCCAAAGTTGTCTGTCTCCTTTGTTATTCCATTTCTAAGCACTTCTGAATTTCATCCAATGTCCTGCAGTTATAGGGATAATACCAAGAGACCTATATTCATGCAGAAAAATAAAACCTGGAAGACTTGTGTGCTTGCTGTGAGCACATTAAATACAGAAAATAACACCACCCAACACCAGCAAATAATTTGCTAAAAGGAAGGCTTACATTTTATAGCAATGAGTGTACAAATTTATGTTTAAGGGACATCTGATTTCAACCTACCCACTAAAAAAATCAACAGGAATATACGATCTTAAATACTTGAGCAAAAACTCAGTAAAAGATACAGTAGGCAAACATTGTAGTCAGCTCAGCAGTGATTACCAACTCATGCTCCAAATTCACTATAAAATGAAAATCAATATTTCCACAAGTTCCTGCAACATAAAAGATAACCTTCATTGATTTTTCTAGACTTAGGCCTCTCTGATAAAATCTAATATAAATTTTCAACCACAAGGATTTGGATCAGAGCAGAGGTGATAAGTCCTGCACATCTCTTAAGAGGTGGAGAATATTTTTTTTAAGTGCACGTTCATACTATTTATAATTTGCCCTGTGCAAGTGAAAGCTTTTCCACCACTGCTATCAGGAATCTCTTCTAATTTTTATTACTGTGAGGCTAAAGCCTGTTCCAGATAATTTGGAAATTTCAGGGGAATTGTGATAGGGCTGATGGTGCATCCCTGGCTGACTTGAGAAAAGAGCTAACCCGTAATAGCCTCCATGGCCGTGCTGATTAAATGTTGCCATAGATGAAAGGCCTGCCATCGCCGCAATAAATTAACCAATCACACAAATCCCAAGTCAGTGCTAATCCTTCCTTGATACTCTGATCCTCTGATCAGCTCAAGGAGGTAAAGAAACTGGCTTGTGACGCTTGGAGCTCTAACCCCTGGATTTCATGTACACAACAAGCTAATGATATCTTGCTGACCAGTTCAATGGGATGAACTTCTCTCACAACCCTTAGGGAACACTGTGGCCTCCTTTAAAAAAAAAACACAACCTGACAAGTGCATGGCAGTTTTATGTGTTTTACTAAGAAACCACAGGAAAACTATCGAACATTTGTTAACTACAATAAGCAGCAAAAAATGCACAAATGTCAAAAACATTTTGCATCTTACGAAGGCAGGTGATGGATTAGGAAAGAACTGAGACATTAAACAGCTGCTAATTCATTTTCATGGAACTCTGCAGCATTCGCTCTGAGAGGTTAGCTATTAGAGCAGCTTTATCTTTTGCTTCGGTTTTGGAAAATAAATATGTATGTAAAGAGGAGGAAAAGCGTACATACACACACAGTCAGACTGACTTAGCGCGATTATAATCAGATTTAGACAGACTCGTTTAATCAATTAACAGAAGGTCTGAACACATGCAGTGTTTTCTCATTAATTATTTGGATGCTGGGTTTCTAATATACGTAGCCAAGTTGAGTCTGCGCAGTCTGCGTTAGCGTAATTCATAATTGGGAAAACTTTTTAGTGTAGTAATTGGTTGCTAGAAGTAATAAAGCTCAGGGGGTTTTCTCTTGTGCTTCATACAAAGAGTTCTGAAAGTACTTCATTATCTTTCTTGGTCAGTTCTATGAAATTAAAACTCATTCTCTATCTACTTTCCTCCACCAATAATTTCCCAGCGTGCATTTTACAGAATTGTTATAAATAAAACCAAGCATACAGAAGGAGGAGAGACACTGAGGGAGTTGCATGCCTTAAATTACATTCCTAAGCATACTGTTTCAGTAATGAGGGTGACACTGCATGTTGCACTGAAGTGGGCAAATAGGCAAGTACGATGCACTTATTCAGCAGTTTTGCACTTCTGGTGAGATGTGTTAAGTGTTCCTGCATCTGATGCTCCAGCATCTCAATGCAGGGGAGAACCTTCCCATTTGGGAGACTGGAACCACAAAGAAGCTGCTGGACAAGTCTCTTATCCATCCACATTTTGAGTTTCTGTGTAATATCCAAAAGCTGCTCACCTTTAGGATCAGACTACTGGTCAGTAATGACTCAGTTTGGCATTTAGCTGTTTTTACGTTCTGTTTAGAGAAAATACTTTTTGTAGTAGAGCGTTTGTGGTCTCTTTCAGCATTTAGCAGTTGGCTCAGCTGAAGATGTCACATTACCTACTTTGCCTCTTTTATCCAGTAGCTAATTTATTTTAATGAGATAGACAAGAGGCAAGTGTGTACTTGAAAACTGGTTCTCTCTCCCATGCCTCATTATTCTCTCTCTCTCTCTCTCTCTCTCTCTCTCTCTCACACACACACACACACACACACACATATACAGAGAGAGAGAGAGAGAGAGAGAGAGAGAGAGAGAGATCTATTTTTTATACTAAAAATGAATTCACTGAAATGGAATCAGAGTCTGGATGTGATTAATTTCTTAGTGGAGTCAATAGTTAAACCTCTCGATTTTTAAAGTAGTTGAACTTAGTCCACGTTTTTAATGTGACTTACACCAGCCATAATTTGTAGTCACTCTTTTTCTTTATAGTCTTGTAACCCTTATTGTCTTTCCTCTTTCTCCCTGCTTACATAGTGTTCCTAGAGTATTGTGTCTTTTCTTGGGAGCTGCCAAAGGAAGCTCCTCATGTTGTTGGCTTCAAAAATCGTTAGGCCAGGAGCAAGTCCTGTAGGAATTAATTAGCAAGAATGGTGCAAGAATACAGCACTCTGCCTGCAAAGCTTTGCTGTATAATGTTTTCGAGTAACACACTTATCTCTGGGAAAAACTGTTTCCCAAGAACAGCAGATGCTGTGGAGGTCTAGAGAGGTATTCAGATAAAGTGTTATTGAACAGAACAACAAGAATCTGAGAAAAATTCAGGACTGTTCCATTGCACATTATTCTATTGCTACTGAAGCCTCATCTGTTTGTGACAGATGTCCTATTCAGGTTAAACTTACCTAAACTGTAGCTGCTTTGTATGTTGTGCATCAATTGTTCACTGTTTTATTGGTTAGGTTTTTATTCTTCTAAGCTGCACTGAACAATGTTATTGCTGGGTAGGAGCATAAAAGTAAACAAACATAACATAATGGCTTGTTTGAAGAACACTTTTCTAGAAAAAAGAAGGTAATTATTTTTAAAGGATGACCTGAAGTATTATTAAAGGCACATGGGCATCGTAGCCACAGAGAAATAAAAGATTGACATACTAGTGGTACTCTCCACTTGTGGGAGGGGAGTCAGGAGAATACCATTAACAAAAGGTACGTGTGGAAAAGAGGAAAGGAATTGCTGAAGAGCTGGATCTCTTTTGAAACTTTGGGAAATAAGTTTTTTATTTCTCAAATTGCAGAGATAGCATGGGATGGAAGTAGGATTGAAAACAACAAAATAATGTATTTTATCTTATGGACATTTCAAGCACCAAAGCCCAAACTACATTATTATTTCAGTAAGATTTTTGCAGTAAGATTTTATTACAGGATTGTAAGTAACAAGAACTAGAGCAGAACTGACTTGTGAAATTCACCTTGCACAGAATGCCGCTTTTGTTATGTAAGTTGTATATATTCTTCCCATCACCTACAAAATAGAATTCAGGTGTTGCAAGAGCAAGTCAGCAATTTATGTTGTGACAAAAGTGAATGACTTTTGTTGGAACAATACTTACTTTACATTCTGTTCTTAACTCACACACTATTCAATGTTTACTCCATGATGTGGAGTTATTAAAAGGTCATTACAAAAATACTAATTTGCTACATAAATTTTCATTTCATTTGCATGTCAGAGGGTATGAGGGAGTTCAGAAGACTGTCAGTACTGTTTTAGGTGCAGTATCATTGCATTATGTGAAGGTCAGTAATCTGATCATGGTCATAGCCTTTCTCAGAAAGTAGGTCAATTAAGTAATTGCATAATGTACCCAAACATGCATTACAAGAAGCAATGTTGACATGAAAATATTAGATTGAAATGAAACAGGACAAATGGACATGGAAATATTTGCGGAATTATGATTTGAAAGAATAATTCAGGTTTTTCCACTGCAGTTTTCTTGAATCTTTGTACTGAAATTTCGAGACAAACAAAAGATTAAAATATTGGTGTTGACTGAATTTAATGAGATTAAGGAAGTTCTAAGAAACACATTATTTATTCAAAAGACTCTTATAAACATTTTGCCTTTTGTTGCCATAGCTGTTTGTTAATGAGAACTGTACTTGTTTTTTTCTCTTGTTTTACTTTGCTGTGATTCAGGCCATTAAAGGTACTACTGCCTTATAATCTTAAAATGAGCCCCACAAAGCCCCACACTTCCAGAAGAGCCTGTTCCCTTCAACAAAGGGAATTTATTCATGTAACCATTGAGATTTCGCACTGTGAAAGTGGAGCATTTTTTCCCTCATAGAATAGAATGCTGAAGCTTCTGTTTCTGTGGAGTTCTGTAAGTTGGACGTACTGCACAGTTGAATTTTGGCAGCACCAGTGTGTAGGATCACTCTTGAGATTCAACATCTCTGCGTAATACTGTGAAATGACTGAAGTAACAAAGATTCAGTGCAATCTTTATGTTCACTGTGGTATGTATATAATTTAGCAATTACTTATATTTCTATCTAATGGATGGATGTAAGGACCAGAGACCACGGTCTTTACATCCATGACCTTTATCATTGCCTAGTGAGGATCTACAAATTCCAAATAAAGTATTTCATGCAGTCATAATTAGAACTTTGCCAGTTTCACTGATGTCTGGATACTGCTGGAAAAGAGAAAATTCTGCAATACTCAATTCCTCCACAAAGATGTTTCCATGGGTCTTAGAAACTAGTATTAAAGGAAAATTGGTCTTAGTTTCGTTAAGAATAAGACACTAAATGCATTTGAGAAGAGACACGAAAGAAATTGGGAACAGCTGCGGACAGCAGATTTGGGACACTGGTATCATGTATGTAACAAATCTTTATTAATAAGTACATTAAATCCCATATTTTTTTCATTTATAACTACTGCATAATTTCCTGTTAACACTTCATGTAAATGCCAGATAAGGTAATAATTTTTTTTCAGAATTCTATTTCTGTTTCATTATATGTTCTATACTCTGCCCCATAGGTCAGTTGCATGATTGAAGTTTTATGCCTCATTAAAATTCTACTAGTTAAAACATGGAGACAGAATTTGGGTAATTCCCTTCTTCACAGCTACAATTAACCATTCCATTGGATTCTTGTATTTCCTCAATCTGGTTTTTTATTTTTAAAAAATACTGCACAGGAAGATGGTCAAGGGGTCTAAATGTCCTAAACATAAGGCTCTTATCTTTTTGTGCTCCAGTGGCTGAAAAACCCAGCATTGCCACCACCTCCTAGTTGAGTATTTCTAGCTAGAAGCTGCTATCAGAAACCTAAATAACAAAAATATGCAAACTTGCACACTAATTCCCTTTGGAGATAGATCTTGGCTGCAGCCCTGTCATAAATCAGAGAATTTCGATATGAAATGAGGCAAGCAGCTCTAATCATTTCTGCATTTCAAATTGGATCACTGGCTCAATCACTGGGCTTTTTTAAACTGCTTGCCTAAGAGCAAATGTGAGGCGGGAGATAATTCTGAAGAAATCTCTTCTTTTGTGACCATAGAACTCTTTTAACTGTTTCAAGACTGAAGGCCACATTCCAGTGATAATAATGTATATCTGCTGGGAGAGATATGGATCCTTAAAGACATCTTCCTTCTCTTTCAACTCATAGAATTCCATCAATATCTGCATACATTATATATATTAATATGTGTGTGAGAGTGTGTGTGTGTGTGTGTGTGTGTGTGCGCTTATGGGTGTTTGTGTGCATAAAAAAGAGGGAGAGAAAAGAAGTGAAAAACATCTGACATGAAGCCATGGCATATTTCTTCTTAGGATTTTCCCCTTCTTCCTGCTTCACTCAGTACTGGTTTCAGATGCTACCCTCTTGAACAGTTAACTTTTCTGTTTGGGTCAGCATGCAAATAAAAAAAATCAAAATCTGCTTTGGATTTTCCCTTGCAATTTTGTGGAACTTATTTTTCTTGATTTTTACAGGAAGACTAGAATCATGCCCCCCACCCCAGCCCTCAACGCTCTAATACAGGCTTCCTCAAACTCGGCCCTCCAGATGTTTTGAGACTACAATTCCCATCATCCCTGACCACTGGTCCTGCTAGCTAGGGATCATGGGAGTTGTAGGCCAAAAACACCTGGAGAGCCGAATTTGAGGAAGCCTGCTCTAATAACTGAACATGATGTTCAAAGGTCTATTTATCAAATACAGAGGAGAGGTGCAACTATTTCCTTAAGCAGACTGATTTTCAATCTTCATAGCTTATCTGAACTCCTGGATATGATATATCAGGGGGGAAATTAGCCTGGATGTCAATTACATTGTAAACAACATCCATCTTGATCCTCAATTTTTTGCAGTGAACATGTTTTATTTCTACAGCTCCGCTGCAAACTTTCAGTGTCCTCAGTACAGTGCTTTGAATTGAATTTAACTCCATTATCAGCAGTCTTTTGTAATCTCATGTAAGCCTAATAGTGATCAGATGGAATTCTAACACTAAGCTCCCTGCATTTTGAGAACTAATTTAAAATGTTTATCAAATTTTTGCTTTGGAGAGATTTTTTTAAAAAAATCCTTATCAGGTTGTTGTTTTTTGTCTCCTATTTTCACCATCCTATTGCCCACCCAATACAATATTTTCCTTCTGAGAACTTGCATGCCCCATTCCCCCAAGATGGATAATTGTTTTATTACTTTCACTTTACTGTTTGGTTTTTGGTTCCTATACAAGAGAACAACTATTTTTATGTAAAGCTGCTAAGACATACTTTTCATGATCTTTTATTTCACTTTTAATTGCAACAACAGAATAAATTATATAACTGATAACTTGACGGAAATCCAGTTTCTCCTATATTATACTAAGAGCAGCAGTTTTCTTTAGAGTTATAGGTTGAAAAACGAAGAACTTATTAAGCCTTATTTTCAAAGTCCAGCCCAATACTAGATCTGATTTTCCAACCTAGAATGGGTTTTCAGACACACCAAAAGAATTATGAAGCACTCTCTCCATTTGATTGGATGATGGCAGGTGCAATAGCCCTGCTCAAGCTCTTAGAAGTCTATATTTTGCCTAAAACATGGACATTATCAACTGAGGGGAAATGCACACACAACACACTATGATTGCACACTGAGAGATTACTTGTATGTGTGAATGGGACACTGCAGATTGAACACCAGAGATAACACTTTCATATTAACTCACACTACATGTCAAACATAATACTTTTCAAATGGAAGCTGTCCGCATGTTCGTCTGCAGTCATCAAGTGGAATG